TCAGAATGCCAGTAGTTGTGGTTTTAGTGGGATTTTAAAGATTGATACCTGTTAAAAGTAGAAAACATGGAAATGAATTGAATGTTAAACTCAAGGAGTTCTCCAGCTGCAGAGACCCAGCCAGCTTAGGCACCACCGCACAGTTCCCTGTGGAGCGCAGGTACAGTCTTCCAGGGGCACTGTTCTGACATCTGTCCTCCGAAGAGGCCATCAAAATGCTTTGTCTGCCCTGATTTTTTTTTAAAGATTTGCTTATTTATTTATGTGAAAGTTGGAGTTAAACAGAAAGAGAAGGAGAGGCAGAGAGAGAGAGAGAGGTCTTCCGTCCACTGGTTCACTCCCCAGTTGGCTGCAACTGCTGGAGATGAGCCAATCTGAAGCCAGGAGCCAGGAGCTTCTTCCAGGTCTCCCACACAGGTGAAGGGAACCAAGGACTTGGGCCATCTTCCACTGCTTTCCCAGGCCACAGCAGAGAGTTGAATTGGAAGTAGGGCAGCCAGGACTTCAACCAGTGCCCATATGGGAGGGATGCCAGCACTGCAGGTGGCGCCTTTACCTGCTGTGCCACATCACCAGCCCCTGTCTGCCCTGATTGAAAGGAATTTCAGTCTGTGTTGATTTTTGTCCATAAAATAATGGTCACGTATAGTCCTCTAGAAGCAGAGTGGAAGGCAGGATTGCCTATTAAAAATATGTTGATTGCCAATATCTTTGAGAAGTTTTAAGCTTAGAAGCTCATGTTTGGAGCCCTGAAAATCACCACGAGGGTGTGTGGCTCTTGGTAGTTTAAATGTATTCTGAATACTGTATGGCACCGTAATAATGGTGAGCTTTGGAATCCTCATAGCTAACCCATGTGTTACTTCTCTGTATTTGATTCTTGTTTAAAGAATTTATTTGAAAGGCAGATAGAAAACAGTTCTCTGTCATCCTGTTGCCCACTCCCCAGTTGCCCTCAACAGCCAGGACTGAGGCCTAAAACTGGGCACTAGAAACTCAATCCAGGTCACCTAGGTGGGTGGCAGAGACCCAAGTGCTGGCCTCTAGGGTGCACGTTAGCAGGTAGCTAGAATTGGCAGTGGAAATGGGACTCAAACACAGGCATCTGGTGTGGGTGCACACATTCCAGGCAGTGTCGGGACCACTGTTCCAGGTGCCCCCATCTGTTCTTAGCAAGGATCTATGTTGAGAAACTGCTTATAACAGACCTTAATGATAACATGTTAATGATACCAAAAATAGAATAAAAGTAATCTTTCTGTGGTGGTTTCTCTGACTTGTATTTTGGGGAACTCAGAGATATCTCTGAGCATTCTGTAATCCCGAGATGAAAGCAGAGGTCAGGAGTACTAATTTTGCTAATTGCACAATGAAATACGCACAGGAAGGTGATGTTTCTTAAAAAAAAAAAAAAAAAAAAAAAAGAAGTCCCTACTTAAAGATAGTTACTTAAGGAGCCGGCGCACCTGAGGGTCCTGGGATTGAGCCATGTGGCGTATCCTTTCTCAGGTTATTAGCTGAGGAGAAATGGGTGTGCTCGCAGCTCTCACAGAATCGCTCCTGTTTGACAGGAATGAGCAGGAGCGCTGGCACGGGGGAGGTCTCTGATGACAGTTTCCCAGCTGTTGTCCAGCTACAGCTTTGTCTGACTCACATCTAAACACCTGCCTGCTAAGCAGATGTTACGTGGCCCTCCAGAAAGTAGCAGCCAAACGCCTTGAGTGTTTCCAGAATTGTTGCCATGACTGTTGTTTGGACCACCTCCCCCGGTGTTGGCCATTGCTTGGCCTGTGTTCTACTTTCAGGAGTCTACTGGTAGAGCTGTGCTTCACCTCCTGTTGCAGTTCTTAGAGGAGTGCTTCAAGGTCTTGATCCCATTTGTCTGAAACTTCCATTGAAACTTCTGTTCTCATCGGTAGCTCATCCTGGCGAAACACTTTCAGCACCCATGAAGCAGGAGGTCTCCCACTTTTATTTTTTGGTCACAATTGCGTACACTGGATCAAGTATGATGTCTTTGTTGTTGGCTACTTTTTCATGAAAGGATTATTTTCATGTAAATTGGTGTGCGGAGTCTCCTGCTGTGAGATTCATCTTTAGCTTAGTCTTGTCCCCTTTTTTTATTACATTGTTTAAACAGTTTCTCTTTAACTTGAGAGAAAGAAATAGGATTCTCATCCTCGGATTCACTCCCCAAATGCCTGAAATGTCGGGCCTGATCAGGCCAAAGCTGAGTGGGGATCTGGTTTAGGTCTCCCACATGGGGAGCAGGGAACTCGCAGGAGAGCCATCCCTGCTGCATCTCAGGGAGCTGGGCCAGAGCTGGGCCAGGGTTGAACCCCAGCACTCAGACCCACCTGCCATAATACAAGCTGTCGGATCTGCAAGTGTTCACATCTGAGCTTGGATTTCAAGGATTTTTTTTACCAAACTTTAACTTGTACTAACTCGGCGTGCATGCATGGTTTCTTCCTGTTGCACGTTTCCATGAACTGTTTGAAGAGCGCTTGTGTGAGGTTAAGGGTGATGATCACCTGAATTCCCAGACTTCTCAGGTGTTCTTTGTGTTTGCAGTTTTCTTTCTTCAAATAACCCTCGTGTTCCGCAGGAGATTCTCCCGCATGCAGATTGATGAGTTGGTTTTCAGTGGTTTGTTTCCGGTTCACCCGTATCTCCCTCTCCACATCTTCAGCGGTGGGGACTGGAGCAGTCCCTGCTGACGCACAGGTGCGGCCTGTTCTGCTCAGGCCTGTCTCGCTTCATCTTGAGAACCAACTGTGCAGAAATGTCGTTTCATCTAAAATCGGATCGCAAATAGAGAACGCTCTTCACCCTCCCACGGACCTGGCTCGGCAAGCAGGGGAACACCACGCAGACTTAGGGTCTCTGTCACAGCGAGCATACAGCTACTTCAGAATCTTCTTGGAGTGTTTCATCTCTGGAGTTCCACCTTGAGAGGAAACTGGCTCATGTTTCTCTTGCTATGTGAGCTCAGGCTCCCTGGCCAGCCCGTGGGTCTGGGCCTCCTCTCAGTGGGCCTCCTCTCTGGCCTTGCTTTCAGTGGGTGTCCCTGTGGGTCTGGCCCCTTCAGGCCATGCCCCCCTTTCTGGTGTCTCGCATTTGCATCCCCATCTGTCACCCTGCTCCAAAAGACAAAGGGTGCTGCTCAAGCTCCACCTGCCCCCAAACAGAAGACAATGAATATTTATAACATTTTAATTTGCATTAAGCTATCAAATGAAAATGAAGTAATGCAGTTTGTGAAAGATTCACATTTCTGCAGAATAGAGTGGATTAAAACCAACCCTAGATGAAATCATTCTCACAGAGGCGTCCTTTGTGTGCTTACTGATGAGGGTAGAGCACTTGGAAGTCAAAGGAATTGTGTGGAATTCCTTCCCCAGCCGCCTCTCTCACCACTGCTGCAGCCTGGGGACAAACATTGTGTTAACCACAGCAGAGACTGCAGATCGTCACGCTTGTGGGTGGTGACTGAGGAGTGGCAATGTGGATGTTCCTTTCCCTGAAAACATTGAACAAATAGCCTGAGCGTGACTTCCTGGTCCTGGCTTAGGTCCCTGTCCTGAACAGGGGGCCTGTGATGGATCAGGCAGATGGCACATCACCCATTCTGGCGCTGAGGAAATCCAAATGGCAGATGGGAGAGTTTCACCAGGAGGTAGAGTTGCTTTTGGCAGTGAACTTAACAGATGTGCATTCCGTGGGTTTGCAGTCCTGCCTTGCCTGGTCCACGCTTGTCCAGTAGCTGCTCTGATCACCTTTTCCAGCCATGTTGCACACTTTCCTGCTCTGCTTTCTCCCGTCCTGCACCTGTGACCAGTCATTCTTTGCTTTTCCTCAGGTGAACCTGTTGAGCTTCCTGCAGGGGCTGGGCTGCCCTCCTGACCCCCACCTGTGGCCCAGTGTGGTTTGCCTCTGCCTGTTCATAGCTCTTCTTCCATCGCATTGACTTGTCCGTGCTTTCCTCTGCTTTCTGGGTGTCTCGAGGGTGTCGTGCATTCCAATGGTGGACACTGACCAGGATTCCATGCGCCTGGAGGGAGGGTGTGTGGATGGACCTGCAGTCCGTTGCGCCGCAGTGACTTCTGGGGTTCCGGCTGAAGTGCCCTGGAGTGTGTGCAACTGAGACGTGCTTCCTGGTGTCCCAGTGGCTGGGGACTGGAGCCACAAGTATTCTGCACATAGGGCTCCAGGCCCTGAAAGCTCTGGGCCAGGAAGGCTGTACGCGCTAAAGCCAGTGGGTACAGGCGAGAGGAGGATGGGCCCCTCCCACACCCGGCGTTGCTCTTACCTCGTGTGTGGTGAGTGGCAGGCTAGCCCTGGCACTCAGCCCTTTCTTGTCCCTAGTGATGGCCTGCAAACTTTCTGGGCCTCAAGCTAGTCATGTGGAAGTGCAGGGGACAAGTTTTCAGGAATACAGTCTCTAGTATTTCAACAAATGTGCTGTGACGATTTAATCTGAAAACCGCATCCATTGCACATAAGGCAGAGAGTGACTAATTTCAGTGATCTTTTAAAACATTATTTATAGCAAACCTTCTGGCTAAAGCACCAGCATGGAGGGCGGCATGTGGATTTAAATCCGGCTTCCTGTTGTGAGGAGTCAGGAGGAGCGCATGGTACCAGCGCTGTGCTTTGGTCTTATTCTGGAAAGCGCACCTGTGCTCACAGCTGACCCCGCCGGGGCACAGGAGCGCGTGCGCAGAAAGCTTGCGTGCGTCGTCTGTGTGTGCCTCAGAGGTGGCATTTTGGAAACTGATTGCTCAGACACCAGTTCAGTAAGTTTTGTGCTTTTTTTTACTATCCTGCGTGATCAGCAGCACAGTGAACTATATCACATATTCACAGGACTTACCCCGGAGCCTGACACTTGGCGTTTGTCTGTTATTCCTTGATTAGGTCTTTTGAGAAACATGTAACAGATACTTTATGAAACCGAGTTCAAGTCCATACTTAGCATGTGTTTATTTCTGTTTTAGATACTCCCAGAAGCATAAAGGCATCCACTGCTACAGCTGAGCGGTGTTTTCAGAAGCTGAGAAATAAACATGAATTCACTATTCTGGTGACCCTGAAACAGAGCCACTTAAATTCCGGAGTCATTCTCTCCGTTCACCACTTGGATCACAGGTGAGTGCAGCCGCCACGGTTGTCTGAGATTCTGGGAAACACGTTCTAAGAACACATAAGGAGAGGCAACAGGCAGCACGTGGTGGGGCGAGGCTGCCTGCACATGGAGTGGCTGTGCTGTGTCGTACGGAGTCACGGGCACGAGCCAACCTCAGAGCTTTGGGGCTGCTGCTGTTCCCTGGCCCAGAGCACACTGAGCTCAGCCCCAAACTGTCCCTGTACTTGTGAGTGGTTATCCACAGAATTCCTTCCCTCCCTACCTCCTTCCTCCCTTCCTTCCTCTCTCTCTCTCGTTCTCAATTTTTTTGTTGTTGTTGTTTCCTTCCTCCCTCTCTGCCTTCTTTTCTTCTTGTCTGGGTTTGGAGTTGGATCGTCTTGCAGTTTTAGTTGCTGGCTTCCTCCCCTCCTAGGCTGTGGTGGGCACAGCTGTGTTCTGGTCTTGCAGCTCCTTGTAGTAGAAGGCAGCGTCCGGCACACTTGTGTGCATGATGGTGAGGAGGAGAAACTCATTCAGGGCACTTGGCCTGGACTTGAGTTCTTAGCACATGACCCCACACGGCTTCACAGGGTCTCTCTGGAAGGGCAGCCCTGGTTCTGACCATGGGCGTTTGTTGACGTTCGTGTTTTGAACACCTGCTGTCCTACACCTTGGTCAAGTCAGGTGGCCTCTCTGTGTGTCACCTGCCTCCTCTGTAAGCTGAGATTGAGGAGTGGTGAATGTTAAGTGCTGTAACGATCTGTCCGCAGGTGGGCAGAAAGCTAGTATTTGGTTTCTCTTGTCAGAGATGAGGCAGCCTGGGAGTTAACAAATCCTTGCTAAATAGTGAGGTGAGAGCAGAAGCAAACAGAAGTGGAGAACACAGCACTGAAGCTGTGACCAGAGGGCGGGCCCTGGGCTTCCTCTGCCCCTGAGGGCTCCCAGGCTCCATCTGTGGCTCCTCAGGGTCTTGCCTCCCGGGGTCTGGCTTGTAGTGGGGGGGCTGCCTGTGACTCCTGGGCTGTACTGAAGGGGGTGTCTTCTCTCACTCTCTTGGCAACTGGCACATGGCCTGGGAGGCAGAGGGGAAAGGGTGAGAGGTCTGCAAGGGCTCTCAGGGCCTCTGCCGGCTTTGCTCTGGTCCCAGGGAGGAGGCCCAGAGTCCTTGTTCCACTGCCTGCAGTAGCAGGACTGTTAACATCGGGAGTCACAGTGATACAGCAGGGTGTTCCCTCCCAGGGACCTTTGCTAGGAACACTGCCCCTGGACCCTGTATGCCTGGTTTTTACTGTAACTCTCTCTGCCCTGCTTGTGGAAATGGGGGCTTCCTTAGCCCTGTTCCAGGAGAAGCCAGAGGGCGGCCCTCCCATGTCATTAGCCCCTGAGCCCCTCATCTGTGTGCTGCCTCTGCCTCTACGCTTCTCCAGGGCTGCTGGCTGGCACCTCCCTGGGCCATCGCTCTTGTTATTTGAGGCCTGATGGTCAGTGCGTGTTGGGCTGACTTGAACATGTGAGCTAAGCATGCGTGACTGTCACAGCCTAGCTGTCCGCGTGATTTCCATCTCATGCTTACGGGGGTGGTGGGCATGCTTGGGATCTCCCTGCTCGTAACGCTGAGGGCCCGAGATCCCGCAGCAGTCATCTTTGCCACCCTGTGGAGATATGGGCTTTAAATTCATTTTCTACCATTAGAAGTAATTTTATCTTTTTAAATCATTCTCGTAGTGTATTGTTATTGTAGAAACTTGGAAAATGCCAGGTGTAAACAGGATAACTCATAAAAATCAGTCATTGCCCTATATGTAGACAGGCCCATATGTGTATATATGTGTGTTGTGTATATATGTGCATGTATATATACATATGTGTATATATGTGTCTATATGCATGCGTGTATATGTGTGCACGTACATATGTGAATGCACTTGTATGTTGTATATAGATATGTGCATATATGTGTACATGTACTTACATGAATGTATTTGTGTGTTGTGTATAGATGTGTATGTGTGTTTGGGTGTATATATGTGTATGTGTGTGTGTGTTTTAAGAGGCAGACAGAGAGATAGTGCTCCCATCTAATGGTTCCCTCCCCAGTTGCCTACAATAGCCAGTGCTAGCCCAGGCCCAGAGCTGGGAACCCCATTCCAGGTGTCTCAGTGGGCAGCAGGAAGCCGTGCACTCGGCCATCAGCACTGCTTCTCAGGGTGTACGTCAGCATCAAGCTGGGACTCAAACCTGGGTGCTCCGGTGTGGGATACAGGGTTACACCCTAGGCCGAGTGCCTGCCCCGAGTTTAGTTACAGTGGGTTACACCCTAGGCCGAGTGCCTGCCCCGAGTTTAGTTACAGTGGGTTACACCCTAGGCCGAGTGCCTGCCCCGTGTTTAGTTAGACTGACCTTTTACTAGTGCGTGTTGAACTCGTTTCCTTTTTCACTTCAATGGCAATGCAATAATGCATATATTTATGTGAAAATGTTTGTGCTCGGCTCTTAGGATTTCTGGTTCTGCTTTTGAAGTTCAGTACTAATTCTGTAATTTCTTGTTTTATCTTTTGTCATCTAGAAATTGGTTATCGTTTACCTGGACAGATATGTGGTTGGCTGTCGTACATCTTTCCGTGTTGTATAACGTTATTGGTGTTTGTAGACACTTGGCACTGAGCACCCAGTGGGGCGGCAGGCACCGAGGGCTGACTGGGTGCCAGTGCTTGCCTTGTTGGGTCACTTCCTCGTCAGCATCCGATTGTGGTGAAGTGTGCAGACCTGAGATGGACAGTGTGCCTTCTGCCGCTCACTGGCCTTGCGACCACTTGCAGGTTATGTCCCTCCCCCATCCTCGGAGTCCTCATCTGTAAGTCCACAGCAGTAATGAAAACACTCTGAGAAAATGCGCTCAGGACTTTGGTTCCCATTCTATAGGTGAGAAAAGCAAGGCTTCGGGACATGGAGTGGTTGGTAAATGCTCTGTCTTCCCTGGTCTCCAGGGGCTCGGGAGACAGGTTCTCGTCTGCATGCTTTGCTCATGGTGCCACCCAGCGAGTTGCAGACACAGCTGGGCCCCAAGCCCACCTCTCACTGGTCAGGACTTCCCCCCAGTGCCCTGTGCTGCCTCCTAACCCCTGCCAGCCACCCGCCTGCCATGGCCTGTGTTGGTTTTTCTGTTCCTGTTAGCATGGCTGAGGGTAACTTTATTTCTTGATTATCTTTCCTGTTCTCACTCATCTACTTAGTTTCATCATTTTCTGAGTGTTTCTTTATTCTCTCTTTCACATACCCATTAGAGTGGTTTATCTAGCTATCCACAGGCCAAGATGAGATAAAGCGAAGCCTACCAGTCAGGGCAAAGGAAAAACAAAACCCAGTTAGGTAGTTCTGCCCACCCTGTGGTGCTGCGCAGTGTGCCAGCGGTGTCTCCACGTGGAGCCTGCTGTGTGGACCTTCTGCTGGGTCCCGTCTGCGCTGTTCTTCCCGTGACTCAGCCCCTTTGCGAGGCCGCGATCAGAGGCAGCCCAGCTGTGCAGGGTCCATCCTCGTGCAGGTGCTGCAGAGGGAGCAGTTCTGCAGGCCGGGTCAGAGGATGCCCTGTTCCTGCTTCTGTGGGCTTGGGGCCGTGGCTGGGTCCCCTGAGCACGCGCTCTTGCCCGCCTGGTACAGAGCACAGCAGCAGGAGCTTGTGCATTTGCGCTCTGTGGCTCAGGCTGTCGCGTCTGCTGGCAGCAAAGGGAGATGCGCTCATGTTGTTGTGAGTGTTGGTGAGGCGGCACCTCCGCCTTTTGTCTGTTCCCGCCTCAGGTCTTAGACCGTTTGTGCCCTTGGTTCCCATGCAGTCTGCTCGGGTGCCTGGTTGAGTAGGGATGGAGGGAGAGGTGGAGAGTGTGGGCAGCGGGCACGCAGGGATGGTGGAGAGTGTGGGCAGGGGGCACGCAGGGATGGTGGAGAGTGTGGGCAGGGGGCACGCAGGGATGGTGCTCAGCGGAGTGTGCCGGGTGGGTCTCGAGGCCGGCCTGCTCACCATCTGCGTGCCCGCCCCATCCTTCGCCGCCGCTCCTGCATACCCTGGGCAGACCCCAAGCCCCACTCAGACCTCTCTGAAGCTCTTACTGCCCTTCCGCATACATGTGAATTTCTTTGCCCACTAACTTCCTGGGCATTTTAAATTTTGTGTCACTCCTGTCAGCACTTTGACACACAATGGCACAGGCTGTGATTTAAATGTTCCATGTATATGCATGTACGACGGTAAAATATCATTCATTATTGATTGTGACTGTAATGACTACTTACTGAAATATTTCAAAGTTTAATTGGTATTTTTGGATTGGTGATGCATGTTGTGGTTCATAAGTTAAAGGGCACAACAGGGTCTAGAAAAAAAGGTTTGTCCCCACGCCCTGCCCTGGTTTCTTTCCCTCCCAGCAGCCACTATGATGATAGAAGCTGGTGTTGTGATACCTCAAGTGAAGCCACCACTTAGAATGCACTTGAGCCCCTGCCACCCACGTGGGAAACCTGGGTAGAATTCCAAGCTCATGGATCAGCCCCAGCCTTGGTAAAGGTGAACCAGTGTATGAAAGATTTCTCTGTCTCTGTCTCTCTCAATCTGTCGCTCTCCTGCCATCTCTCCCTCTGTCTCTATCACTTTGCCTTGCAAATAAATTAGATCTTTAGAACAAATAAAGCCAGATCTGTGTCCTGGAGTTGGCTCAGTCGGTGCTGTGCCAGAGCTACGTGCTTTCTGGCGCATGAGAAGCGATTCCATGTGGGTGGGGTGGGCAACAGAAACCTTGGCAGCTTGGAAGCAGGCCACAGTGTGGGCCTTTGCACCCTGGATTCTGCAGCTGCCACAAAATAGAGCTTTCAAAACAATACCCTCATCTTTCCATGAGCTTAAATTCCCACCTCTCCGTCCTCCCTTAACAGAGGGCCCAGGGAGCCTGAGTCTTAGAATTACTCTTCTAGGGAGCATTCCCCAGTGTGCTGCTGCCTGCAGTCCTGCCTGTGGGGTGCAGCGCCCAGCCCT